AGTATAAGATATTTTATTCTGTAAGATATCTTATATCTTCTTATAAAATAAGAAAAGGCTATCAAAGGTAGCTGGAGGGTGGTAACATATTGTAGCAGACTTTGGAGGCAGATTGTTTAGTTTTGAATCTTGGCTCTACTGCTACCTCTGTGACCTTGAGCAAATTACTTAACATCTCCACTTCTTCAAATTTAGGCAGTAATACTCCTACTTCACATGATATAAGAAATATGATTATATATGAACCATTTAATAAATTAAATGAAGTGGGCAGTAATACTCCTACTTCACATGATATAAGAAAATTAAAAACACAATACCACTATACGCTACCAGACTCCCTAAAACAAAGAAGATGAAATACAAAACCTTGGCGAGGACATACGGCAACAATGACCATCATACACTATTGCTAGAAGTATAAAATAATACTAGGACAAGAAAAATAAACACATGGGACTTAATTAAGCTTAGAAACTTCCACATAGCCAAGGGTACAAGTGAAGCAAAAAAGACAACCTTTAGAATGGGAAAAGATATTTGCATGGTATAAATCTGGCAAAGGGTTCATAATTAGAATCTACAGAGAGCTCAAATTAATCAACAAAAAAAGAACCAACAATCCCATCTACCACTGAGCAAGAGATATGAACAGAACTTTTTCTGATGAAAACAAACATTTGAAAAACTGCTCATCATCCCTGATCATCAGAGAAATGCAAATGAAAACCTCTCTGAGATATCACCTAATCCCACTGAGAATAGCCCACATCACAAAGTCTCAAAGCTGCAGATGCTGGCGTGAATGTGGAGAGAAGGAAAACACTTGTACCCTGTCGGTGGGACTACAAACTAATACAACCTTTTGGGAAGGAAGTATGGAGAATCCTCAAAGAATTCAAATTAGACCTCCCATTTGATCCTGCAAACCATTTTATCATAGGAACATTTGCACTGGATTGTTCATCACACCTTAATTCATATTCAGCAATAAAAAGATGGAGACTTTACGTCTTTTGCTTCAACCTGGACTGAGTTGAAACACATTCTTCTTAGTAAATTAACACA